CAGCAGAAATGCTTGCATTGATATACAAGGATAAATGATAAAATATGCGTAAGATAACAGTCAAAAACAAAGCATGAATTTAATGACTTTGAATATAATCATACATTATGTGTTTGAGAAGAGTCAAATCTGCAGTAAAGCAAAATATGCAATAAAGCAATCAATAAATATTTTACGGTGCTCTCGTTCAGTGGGAGAAACATTCATGACTTGAGAATCCCATGAACACATCAAACAGAGGAGATAAGTCGCTAAACAGAACAATTAAACACTGATGAAATGGTCACTAAGTGAGCGGTCCACACGTTATAGCTTGCAGGTATCTCACAAAGCATGAAATGAATCAAAGTTGTTTGTCTGCTTTGTATCATTGGGCAAATTATAGATAATTGCTCATTTGATGTATTCACAGTAAAGCAGTCATTTGATGCATATACTGTGGATATTTTCCACACAAACTTCAAGATGTAACAAACGGGGGAAAAAAATGGGATGTAATTGATTATAAGTTAATTGTGCAAAGGTCTCCCTGATGGGAACCATCTGTCAAAACAAGCTGTACATTCACTAATTCTAATCATAATTAATTAAATGGCTAACAAATTACATATATCATAGTTAGTAGAGGGGGGAAACTACCGCAGGAACTGTTATGAAACAAATTAGCTTTAACAATGAAAGAAAATTACATCACATAACTAAATATTATACTCGTTTCCGCAAGCCATATTTCTTAATGAATTCTCTAATTAATTTAATTCACACAATGTGCATAATTTGGAGCTGAAAATGTCAGTGGGTCAGACTTAACCATATTGTTGCTGGCTGTCTATTTCAACAAGTCCCATATTAGCACAACATGACCTCTATGTAAATTACACAGACCAACTGTTGTAATTTTAATTCCAGTGTCTAATTAACATGTTCTAAAGATATCATACAAGTACATTTAACTCATTTTACATGTGCCAGTGTCAATGCAAGATTTCCATTTGCTTTCAATTTGTGTAATCCCCTTCCCTTGGTGGGAAACGCCACATCGGTTTATGTTACAGATGTAAATTATAACAAAAAGGCTGTTTGTTTTTTTTTTGCTTGTTGGATTAAGTGTTGAACTTTCTTGTCAGTGTGACAGTGCCACTCTCAAAACACAAGGCAGCTGGTTCTGGTTTGGCTTCTGTTGGAGGTTTCTTCAGGGAGTTTTTCCTCTCCACTGTCACCAAGTGTTTGCTCATTGTGGGAACTGTTAGGCTTCTCTCTATAATATTATAAGGTCTTGACCTTACCCCGTAAAGTGCCTTGAAATAATGTATATTGTGATTACTATACAAGTAAAAATGAATTAAATTTAATCGTGTACTGGAGTGGTGAGCATTACAGACACTAAGACCGATCTCATTCACAAAGCATGAACATTACAATAATATTTCTGATAGAGGAGGGCATTTAGATACCTATTAGATCTTCTTTTACTCATGCCACGCAATTGTAGTGAGGTCAACAGGCACAATTAAAAAATGAAAGAATGCCCCATAGTTCAATATATGACAGTTAATGATCGTTAGCTGTGAACTGAACAGTTTTTCAGTTGGTATTTCCCTTCAGAGAACCTTCATAGGCTACAGGGACAGCATTTAGATGGTTCACAATATATCAACTCAATACACTGTACGCTGTTGAACACATTAAAATTTACAGATATTAAATTCATTACAAATCAACTGTACTGTGTACTGGGGCTGCAGCTTACAGCTATTTTCATTATCAATTAAACCTGCTGATTTTTTTTTTTTAGTCATCTGGTCAATCAAATGTATACAATTTCCCAGACACAGAGATAACATCTTTAAAATGCTTGTTTTGTGTTTTTTTGACCAACAATTCAAGACTAAAATCTGTTCAATTTACAATTATACAAAACAGACAAAAGCTGCAAATCCTCATGTTTCAGAGGCTAAAATTTTTTTTAAAAATGTTTTTGCTTGGAAAATTATTTCAATCATTTCAGTTCGACTAAGAGCAGCACAGACACCTGTACGTTTACGCATTGCTTCATTTCAGGTAATGCCATAGTGGATGAAAATATATACACTGGTGATTGACTCTCACTGCTCTGTCACCTCTGTTGTGTTTGTCCTAACCCTGTGCCCCATCAGTTTAGAGAAAACACAAATCAAATTTACCAAATGATGGCATCACTGAATGTGAATGCAGAATTGGATGAATAAATTAATAAATTGCCCAGTGGATGGAACATATAAGCTAACACATGCATTGCAGGGCTCGGGGGCTATCCTGAGGCCAATCATTTAGCTAACACACTAATGAAAGCGTGTGTAGTGTGGCTAAGGGCAGCCACCATGGGAGGTACCACTGCCCTCCCTCCTCATGTTGGGGACTGTTAATAGGCTGGATGGAGCCAATGGGACTCCCAGGAGAGGCCTGCTGATGAAGAGGAAAACCTGTCGCCGCCTTCACTAATCACTGCCTAATGGCCACAGTAACACAGGTTTTCCAAATGTGATTGTGCATGTGTGCCTGTACCCGTGTGTGTATTTTAGAATATTGGTAATCTCACTAAAATGTTCACTGGGGAATCTATTGTGTTTCTATCCATAGTAGTGTGCATATTTTGCTACCAAAGATGTTTAGTAAAACTAAAATTTACATAAAAATTGCATTAATTGTCACCACTATGGGGTTTTCCTTTTCCAGGCGTTTTTTGTTTTTGTTTTTGTTTTTCTTTGTTTGTTTTTCTTTTGCTATGTTTCATATCATTAAAGGTACAGTCCATAATCTAAATGTAGACTCAATATATGTCATTGTAAAGTGAATATCTTTGGGGTTTGGACTATAACAGACAAGACACCTGATGACGTCACTGTGGACTGGGAAATTGATTTTTTAGTTTTTCACTATTAATCAAATCAAATAATTAAAATGAAATGATCAGCAGATTAAGCAATAATGAAAATATTCGTCAGATGAAGCCCTGTTTGTAATGGTGATATTAAACAAAACAGCAGTGAAACAAGTTTAATTCCCATATTGACCAGTTGTGAAACCAATAAATCAGTTGTTTTTTTTATTACGTGAATTCACCTTGCTTTTATCTGATGAAATAAATTACATGACAGGGCAATAACCTGGACGGTTTGGGTTCGTTTGGTCCAACAATAAATTAATATGAGAAGACAGTCGTTACCGTGGGTTTGTAACTTGTGATACTAACTTCAACAACAGTTTAGCTATTTTTATAATGCCAGCTCTTGGTCTGTGTTTATGTAGTTAACACTGATAAAAACTCACCTACATTGAGTTTAACACGTTTTGACGACAGCACACATACACTCCAAATTAATCACAGTGGTAAATCAGGTTACACTACATTTTTAGGTGTGTGCGGTGTCAGATTCGGGTGGTTTACAACATTGGACATTGTGATGTCAGAACAACTTTACTTTTAACACAAAATGCACCAAACAATCAGCAGTTTTAGACTCAGCTCCTGTTAGGCACAGTGCTCCTGCCCACATGGCTCCTGCTCTACCTTTGACGTCGAGACTAGCCCATGACTGCAGTTTTTTTTAAGTAAACGTGAAACTGTGAAACTACTGAATTAAGACATCGCTTCCGATTACGACCTACAAAGTAAAGTTCTCATTTCAGATTTTGTTGCAATAATTGGCATTGATACTTGGAAAACAGCGGAAAACAATATGAAACCATGGTCCCCTTAGTTGCTTTTTCTAAGGCTGGAGTTTGCCCAGTTGTGACTGAACTGCAGATGTTCAAATGAATTAAGTTTTCATCATTGTGTCAGGGGATTATGCCCATCTTGCATGGCTTACAGGGCATAACACATTTATATAAGTAAGACTCAGAATGCATATACATTTTTAAACGTTACCACAAAAACAAACAAAAAGATAAAGAAAGTCATCTTGAGTGATTTTCACATCAAGTTTTTAAACCTTTGTGGCTACAAGAAAAGTTCATAAATCACTGATAAGACATACCAGCTACTCTATAATACTGAAGAAATCAGAGTAAATTACTCACCTTGCCTTCTTTTCCAGGGTTTTTAGACATTTTAAATCCTAATCATATCAAAAATGAACAGTCAGTCCTATTTTTAGCATCTGTAGCCTATACAAAATATTTCAGGGTTTTATTGAGCCATTTCTGGACTGCTAAAGTCATAGTAAAATCTTCATCGTATTCACAATGAATCAACATGTTGTTTCAGAGCATTCAGTGACTCATACTGGCTTAAAAGCTGCAGTTCGGGGGTTTATTATTGACCTTGGAGACTGCAGATGAAAACAATCTCACAAGGTCCAATAAGTAGCTATTAAGCTAATTATGGAAAGAATCAGAAAAGCTACTTGGATCGTTGGATTGTTTTCTCATCAGCTGTAATAATGTAGGTTTATGTTTTACTTTGGAAAAAGCAGTTAAGAAAACCAGACTTCACAAGGTCCATTTAGTAGATTTAGTAGCTGTTCTATGGCTTTTGATCATGTCAAATGGTCATCATGAGTTGATGGCACTGTTTGTCAGGGATTTAAATTAAAGACAATTTTCCACCTTTGTGGACAATACAGTTTTTAACCCTAGCTCCTAACCCTAATAGCGGTTGTATTCATGATTGAACATTTATTCAATGGATTTTTTTTTTCAACTGTTGCAACAATTCATCACGTCTATTTCCTCGAATTACATGTAGAAAAATGATTAAATGATTTTGTAAGATTTGTCATACCATGTCTACCTGTGAAGATAAATCGAAATGTAAAAACTGCCCTTTGAATGCTTTATTTTGAAAGTCAGTTACAAGCGCTTCCTGTCCCCTTTTGACTATCTCCGCCTAGCTTGCCTTTAGCTCCTTGCAGGCCGAGACTTCCCTGTCAATCTGTCCAATCAGAGTTTACTGACAAGGTGGAAGTCGGTCGCTACGTCCTCATACAAAACTCTGTCAGTCATAGTTGTGGCGTGGAGACCCAGCGACGAAACCAACAACTTTAACCAAGTTTCTTCTCGTCGGCGAGAAGTTGGTGATTTTTCCGAAACTAACATAATGTCTCCAGGCGGGTGGACATGACCGGAGTGATACGGTATGGAAAAAATAACTTTACATTGTACCATTGTGCTGGGCCATGGGTGTCAGACCCTGCTGTATTGCTGACAGACAACACTGACTGCCGCTGCTGCTCTGTGTAATATTTCTAGCATGCCACGCAGGCAGCTAACTTCTCCAAAGCCAGGAAAACTTTGCCTTCAAACCAGCAGTGGCCCACGCAGTCTAATACTGTGACATTTTCTTCATTTCACCCTTTCCTTTTTACACATCTGAAAAATGATGAAGGTTAGGAGATACTTAAGGGGGAGTGGGAGGGTACTCGCATTCGTATTCATTGCCTCTGTTATTTGGCTGCTGTTTGACATGGCTGCACTTCGCATATCAATAAACGATGCGAATAGTCAGCTGCTGAAGGAGCGGGTGATAAGAGAAAGGGAGACTTTCAAACAGCAGTCTAGGGTGACACAGCTGATGAACAGGGGGTTTAAACACCCAGTGCAGAGGGTGGACTTGGCTGTTACACATGCGGGCAAAGGACCACTTAGTTCAGGCATCAAACTCTCCCAAGTGTACAGACAGGGAGGCAGGAAACACGACCAAATGTTGAAGGACAAAAAGGTGGACTCTTTTCAGCAACAGGGAGATAATCTTCCCAAGGCTAAATCTGTAGTTTCTGAACATCAAGAGAGAGCTGCCCTGCAAAATGTCACATCAAAGCATGGTGGCCCTGCAAACAAAAAAGCAGTAAATTTGGATCTGAATGGCTCTAAATTAGAGAAAAGTGGAGTAATAGATGTCTTTGATAAGGGGACATTACCTGCAGTAGAGTCTGATATAACCCAGGAGTCACAGGGTGTTCAGAAAAAAAAACATGCTCCTCTACCGACCTCAAAGAAAGAACCCATTAAAACTGGAGATGCTGTACAAAGCGCTCTGGACAAAAAGGATTCAAAGACAAATCAAAACATCAAGGAGGAACCCTCCAAGACTGGAACAATAATGAGCCAGCGTCAGACTGAGGAGGCACACCCTGTTAAAACAACATCCAAACCTCCCAACAAGGATGTAAAAGAAAAGGAGGTAAACATTAATAAAAATAAGAAACCGGCTGAGAAAATTGACAAGAGTGATCTAAATGCAACAAAGGAACCCCCGAAACCTGTAATCAAGCTCCAAGCAGGAGGGGACTCCAAGGATAACTCCACAGCTGTCAGAAAACCAGGTGTCCACAAAGTGCTTTCTCTGGATGCGACTCTCACTCCCAGAGATGCCAATGCCGTGGGCCAGTTTGGTCAGGCAGCACTTGTTGCCAGTAACGAAGATGCAGAGGTGAGGAAGAGATGGGACGAAGGGCATTTTAATGTCTACCTGAGTGACCAGATCCCAGTGGACCGTGCCATCCCAGACACCAGGCCTGAGACGTGAGTCTGTTTCTGCACATTTTACCTCTCAGTCGATCCAGCAGGTGATTGCAAAGCTTGACTTGTCCTTTTCACTGTGTTTTCCAGGTGTGCGCAGAATCTGGTCCATGATGACTTACCTTCCACCAGTGTGATTTTCTGTTTCGTAGATGAAGTGTGGTCCACGCTCCTCCGCTCTGTGCACAGTGTGCTCAACAGATCTCCACCACACCTCCTCAAAGAGATCATTCTGGTGGATGATTTCAGCACCAAAGGTAATAGTATCCTGAGTGCTTTGCAGGTAGAGCATATTACCCTGATTGGTCTTCCACAGGGGGGCAGATATTGCCAACACCAGAATACTGCTGTTAATGACAAAGAGAGGTCTAGGTTTTTATTATTAGAGGCAAGTTTTTCCTTTTGGCTGGTGTACAGAACCCACTAGGCTGAAAAGCATCACATTTACTTGTAATATGTTGTCCCAACTTGAATCCAACAAATCCTTGTTTATAGCCTTTACATTGCCAGGCAAACTAATATGTACAATACTGTTCATTGATAATGATAATTGATGAAATAAAAAGACATCAGTATTGAAAGTTACGGTCCAAAATGTTCACATTTTTTTCTGGCTGTAGGTGTTTAATTTAGTAAATAATAATTCTTAATCACATTGTGTCTTAAATTCCCTTTTCCCACATTTACTTTTTTATACAGACTTTTTTGGTGCAATCTTTACTCATAACATTAGACCTGCAGCTCACAATTATTTTTATTATTGATTAATCTGTTATTCTAAATAATAAGAAAATTGTTTAGTTTACTAAATAGCAAGAAAGTTCAATTGCTGGTTACAATGTTCCAAAATTAAAAAATATAAATTTTGTAATTGTGTAAGACAGAGAAGAATATCAATTTCTCATATTTGAGAAGCTGAAACAATAGCACAATAACTTTTGGCATTTTTACTTATTAAACTTAAATATTACAATAACCAAATTATTGTTGATTTATTTACATTTGATCAATCATTGAGAAATCTACTAGTTGTTTTAGTTCTACATAACAAACACACAGAACAGTCCTCAGCTATTACCAGGGATCTACCCATTATTTGAAGCCTGGTATTTTAAGTGTAAATGCTGTATGTTTCCTTTTAATCTATATGTACTTTTGTCTGCTGGCAGTGTTGTAAAATCACATTATAACTTGTATGACTTTTACTTCGGCAGAAAATTTGAAGGCACCACTGGATGAGTACATGTCCCAGTTTCCGAAGGTGCGAATCATTCGCCTGAAGGAGCGGCAGGGTCTGATCAGGGCCAGGCTGGCCGGAGCTGCTGCTGCCAAAGGTAACCACTGCTATGATTACATATTTTTGTAATAAATGTCTTTAATGTATGGTTCATATATACATATGTAGAAAGGTCATTCAGGATTGAATGAGGGGATATTTCACTCTTAAAAGAAAGATGAAGACTTTAACACAATTCACATAAATATGTCAAATCACATGATCAGACTCACCGAAAACACAAGTGTATCCTTGTCCTCGAGGATGGGTTCATTTAAAGGCCAATACTGTATTTATGTGACCTCTCCTTGTGAGTAATTTACTCATATTATTCCTATTGTTCATTGAAGTTTAATAATGCTGTGTGAGTTGGGCAAGATATCAACACTGGTATAACTGTAGGGACTATTGTATCATGCTAATCAACATGACCTGGATAGAAGCACAGTACAACAAGGCATACAGTTCTTAGGCCATGTTTTTCCAGCTTTTGTACTTGCAAATGAGCTCATCAGATACCAAAGTATGTAGACATATTTCAAGACTTATTTTCAGAAATCAAAAATTTGTGGACTTAAAGTCATTTGTTGATTTGCTGTAAAATTCTCTGTTTCTGAAATTCAAATTAGAGTCAGATAAATGCAATATTTTTTAAGTACAAGATAACTGCAAACCAGTTTCTGTATCTTGTAAATCCAAAATGTTTCTGAGCTTTGTGCAGCTACATTTGTCACTACTACACTAATTTTATTAGATGTGTGTGCAAAATAACAGATTATGTAATAACTAGCTTTGTAACAAAGACAGTACTGAAACATACTCAAGTGAGCAGCAGCACCTGTGCTCTTGTGTATTTACTATGAATTGTTATACATATTATTTACATACCACAACCATCACCTACCGTTCAAAGAACTCTTTGACAAGTGTTACAGGGTTGCACTGTTAAAATGCAGCTGTGGGTGTTTGTTTAACTGCAGCAGGATGTTTGCTTTCCTCTAATGTAGGTGAGGTTCTTACCTTCCTTGACTCCCACGTTGAGTGTAACGTGGGCTGGCTGGAGCCGCTCTTGGAGAGAGTGTATCTTGATCGAAAGAAGGTGCCCTGTCCAGTTATTGAAGTCATCAGTGATAAGGACATGAGGTGACTGAAACCATGTCTGAGTCAAAGACAAGCCATACATCATGTTTTTATAGTCATACTTGAATGTTGAATCAGGAAATGTCGTTTTAACATTGGAGGTTGTGTTCCTGCTCTTTCTCTTCAGTTACATGCTGGTTGACAACTTCCAAAGAGGTATTTTCAAATGGCCTTTGGTGTTTGGCTGGAGCGCATTACCAGAGGAGTACATTAAGAAAAACAACATGACCATCTCAGATCCCATCAGGTACCTAATTTTTTTCCATGCTGTTTGACTGCTCATTCTTCTGGCTTTTTTGTTCATGTTTTATCAATATTTCTGGTTCCTGACTCCAGCTAATGTGTAGTTGTTATTTTTGTTTATTTATTTTGTCTTACAGGTGTCCAGTTATGGCTGGAGGCCTCTTCTCCATAGACAAAAAATACTTCTATGAGCTTGGTTCCTATGACCCTGGCCTGGATGTTTGGGGCGGGGAGAACATGGAGATTTCATTTAAGGTATATCACTCAACTAATTAATGCAGTATTGGCCATAGTTGCTTGAGAAGTCCACAGAACATCACTCACACGACTTCTTGTCTCATGTGTTGCCATTTGAATAGATCTGGATGTGTGGCGGGGAAATCGAGATTATCCCCTGCTCTCGAGTGGGACACATTTTCCGAGGACAGAACCCGTACAAATTCCCGAAAGACAGGCAGAAGACAGTGGAGCGGAACCTGGCGAGGGTGGCTGAGGTCTGGCTGGATGAGTACAAGGACCTCTTCTACGGTCACGGCTACCACCACCTGCTGGATAAAAAGGCCACTGACATCGGCAACCTCACCGAGCAGATCGAGCTGAGGAAGAGGCTCAAATGCAAGAGCTTCAAGTGGTACCTGGAGAACGTGTATCCAGACATGGACGCTCCTTTAGTCAAAGCTGAAGGCCTGGTATGTGAATTCCCTACAGCCACTTGTATTCCATGTATGTTTTTGTCTCTTGCAATCACAGTGCTCTGTGTTCGCTTCAAATGTTGTTTACATTTCCTTAAATGATCACTTAAAAAAGCCTGTCGTACTTTCCCTGCATGAAGTCACTGCTATCCCTGCTGGGAACCCCTTTAACAAAAATGAACCAAACAGAGACTGTGATTGTGCTCATTTGGAACAAAGAATAGCTGTCTGTTAAAGCCTTGGTAGAATTCAAACAACAAGTAAACAGATGTTTTTAGCACCCTTGTTTCACATCTGTAAAATGTTTATCATCTCATTTTTCCTTGTAGGTCTTCAATCGTGGTTTAAGAAAATGTCTTGCTCTGCAGAAAGGCTCTCTGTCCTTCGAGATATGTGATCTCAGTAAGCAGGTAGGCGTCTTTATTTTATTTATCACATTATTTGTCAGTAAGCACACATTAAAGTAATTTAATAAATTGAGTATTTATTAATAACCAAAATATTAGCAAATGTTCTACAATTAATGGCTTTTTCTTATTGTTTCTGAGGATGCACATGTTAAGTTTGGCCTCATGACTATGTTAAATACGGGGGCTATAACACAAAAAATATCCAGGAATAGACTTAAACCAGGACAAATGCAGTCAGAGTCGAAGACCCAAGGACCCGAGCCACGATAAACAAGGGTGGAGCTCAAGACGAGACCAAACCTTTCTAAATGTGGTCGTCTTGGATTCAAAACAACCCCACTGAGCCATCTTTCAACATCTTTCAGTTTTCATGCAGCGTAATTACATCCTTGTCACTCCCATCGTTTTCTCCCTGGTCTACAGAGTCAGCACTTTAATTACACCTGGATGAGGCACGTTCGCCAGCAGGACCTGTGTGTCGCTCCCCAAGGCAAGGGCACTGGCTTTGGTTTACAATCCTGTGACAACACTAAGCCTGAACTCCGCTGGTTCCACAAATCCTCCAACTCAGCTCTGGTAGGTTGACTCTGGGTGTGCCTTTTGCTTTGTTTGCTGTCTTTTTTTTTCTTTCCCTTTTACAACTCTATCATTTTAGCAATTTATAGTTACTGTAATCAAACAACAAGAATTGCTTGTGTCACATCCAGTATAAGCAAAATGTTGCTGTCAGTTGAAAATGTTTAGAGGCTAAAGGTTTGTTCATTGATTGTGTTTCCTGTTTTGTGTTTGACAAGGCGGAGCACCTCATAACAGAGTTCGTTTCCCACCACTTATGCCTGGAGGCGGGGCCACAGGGTGACACACTTCACCTCAACCCATGTGTACCCAGCAATGCCCTCCAGAAGTGGCAATTCACACACTACCGTGCTCAGTGATGACACCAATCGGGATTTTCCTGTGTTATTCATGCACTATAGAGACCTTCAGTGGCCTCACACCACAGTATGCTCTGTGGTCCAACCTCAAAACACACAACTGCCCAGAGGAAGTCACTTTGGTTGCAGTAATGTGCGTGATGTAAAGCAGATGGTGTGGGGATGTGCATTGTTTCTGAAGTCCTTTTTAATTCATCAGCATGGACTGACATTGTGTTTAAACACTCGTGCCAGAAGAAAAAGAGAATATTTCTCTGGTTAGGAAGGTTTGCACCACAAGTTTCTAATTTTGGAAAAGATCCTCTACACAGGTATTTCAGGAAAAATCACCTGAGGTTTTTTTTTTTTTTTTTTTAACTGGGCCACAGGTATATGTCAATAGAAGAACACTCCAGCTGATAAGTTCTTCAGTACAACATATCATTTCACTGCCAAAGATTAAACAGTGCCTTATAGATTTGAAATGTAAGAAGTGTTTGCGCTGTGGGGTCTGGGTTAAATAATGAGTTAACTTGCATGTAAAGTTGAATTTATTTGTTTGTACAAAACATATCACATATTTTTGGTGAGACATCTACTTTTCTAGATGTCATGTATTTTATGTTTGATGAGGCTGCTTCTCTGGTTTTTAATTCTGTGTTATTTAGGTGTAGGTTTTGTTGTCTCTTTTGTACAAAAATGTTTGTTTTTTTTAATTTTTGTCACTAGGGGGAAGTGTTGGTTTAAAACACACAATAAACCTGTGCTGTGATTTCACGACTGATCTGTTATCAAACCCTTTAACCACAAACTGATGCATCTTCTTGAGAAAGTAAAGAAATAAAAGAACGATAAAGATTTAATGGCATGAATCTCTTTATTTATGTTCATTTTTATTCACTAGCCATTAAGACATGTATATATGTATGATTTCTTAATCACTTGAAAATACAAACCCTAATAGTTTCAGTACTCAGAGTTTCTCTCCAGAGGTTCAGATACTGAAGCTCTAATACCAAACAACATCTTAGTTATTATAGCAAGTAGGATTATAAATCCCAGAGCTTCTTATTTATTTAATCTTCTACTCAAATACCTGCCTTACATAATGAGGTTTTCATGTTGAAACCAGATGAAAACCCTAAAGTACCTCTTGACTGTTAGTTATTCCTCTCCAATCAGATACAGAACAGATGTAAACAGTGCATAGCTCATTTAGAAATCTTGTTAGGTTTGTGTTACCTAGATAGCTGTATTGAAGATTTTCAATACTATCTACAAGTAGATTTCAGAACTAATAGATATATACACCATGTAATATACCAAAACGTAAAATCAGTACCCATTATGTTATGGATCATGTCCTGCAGTTTTTTTTTAGATTTCAGAACTAATAGATATATACACCATGTAATATACCAAAACGTAAAATCAGTACCCATTATGTTATGGATCATGTCCTGCAGTTTTTTTTTCCTGAAAGTGGCACTGAAACCATCTTATAAATTCATTATCATGTATTCAAACTCTTCTATCTTCTGGCGGGTGTTGCCTCTGCGGATCTTGCGGTAGGACATGGTGCTGTATTTGCAGGAGGTGAGGTGGTCAAAAGATTTCTGCTGGCTATTGTTGCGACTGGATTCCTTCGGCAGAGGCAGGGTGGAGTAGCCTGGACTCGGGCCCTGATGAAACTCAACAGGAACATAGAAGTTGCGGCCCTGCTCTGGCTCCTGGTCTACCTCAGGCTGTCTGTCGCCTGATATCTCAAGTTCAGCACTCAACCTCTCTACTGGCACCTCTGCCTCCACATTCAGCCTTGTATAACTCTCCTCATTAGTTACATCAAAGGGGTTGAGGTTTGGCGTCTGAGCCTCTGGCACCACTTCTTCCTCCTTTACTTGTACATTTGCTGAAAAGAAAAGGAAGAAAAAAAATCTGTTTTGCATTCTGTAAACAAAAACCTCACTCTCAAATAAACAAATCTATTTCACTGCACAATAATACTAAACTCCTCTTACCTGTTTCTGATGATATAGTCTTTCCAGGCTGTGTTTGCATGTCTGCATTTGTGCAGTTTGGTTGTAGAGATTCTCCACTGGTGCTAGCTGAGTTTTCTGGAGCTAGATTAGCTTCTGCTACTGGATCTGTTGACACTGACTGATACACATGTTCAGTTTTTGGTGTCTGGAGCTCTTGGCATTCCTCTTCTTGTACAGTCGGAGTCACTTCCTTCTCCATCTCCAAATCCTCTTTGTCACTTAAGACTTCTGCTCCTGGATCACCCTCCCTCTGTGGAACAGGTTCTCCAGCTGCTTCACTTTTGACTAGATGCTCGGTCATGTTGGCACTGAAATCACAAGCTGTGTTTTCCTTTATGTCCTGATGAGTTTGGTCCTCATCACTGTAGAACACAGAGTCATCTCCCTCCTCTATCGACCACACGTCTCTCTCATCAGGCTGGTCCAGAGTCTGTAGGGCCTCAAGCGTGATCCCACCAATGATCTCCAGCACCTGGGATACCAGTGCATTTTCTTCTTCTACTGTGAATCTCGTGGCCTTTGGAGGCATTGTGCTAGTCTCCATCTCCGTCCGTTTTTCTTTGTTGAAAACAGCAACTGATGCTCTTGGTTGTTTTATGTTGAATCAGAAGTTAAACAACCTCACACTTTGCATTTCCACATCGCCTGGTTCAGCCATCCAAGTGTGTTATAAAAAGACTTGTTTTTTATCCTATATTGTCAAAGAGTGAAAACAGAATCCAGTGCTACGACGATGTCACTGTGTGTGCGTGCTCAATCACTGAAGAACAGGGGTTTTGTTGTGAACCCAACAAAGGTTCTTTGTAACTCTGGCATCTGCATATGGAGTGATTGTACTCATTCTTTAATCTCTGCTGGGTGACCACCTTCCTTCTGTAACATTTTGAGTCTGGATTAACATTCTCCTATAGGTTTTCTTTACAGTATTTTACTGCCTGAACTGGCAATGTTTCTGCATGTCTTGAAGCTAAGCCCTGTTATGTCTTGAGCCCTGTTTTTAAGTGCATAAAGATCTTAAGTAAGGCGCCTGAAATGCTGGTATAACATTCTGAAAACTATTTGTGCAGTCTGCACACAGAGGTGAAGAGTAACTTAGTACATTTACTCTATAGTGTACTGCTTTTTTAAGGCACTCTTATTGGGTATGTTAACTTTATACCTCCAAAACAAAGAGATTGACTTGCCGTGAACCAAGCGGTTTATCAACATATCAGATCTGAATTTACATTTAGAAATGCCTATACACAAATGTAATTATATGTACATGTGTTGAATTTCCATGTATGAAATATATGTACATCAGTAAAATCAATAATCATAAGCGTATATACAATATAGCCTAAATATGTCAAAATTACATGTTAAACCTGTTAGAAATAGGAAATAGGAACGCTATCAGATATTGACATATATGTCTAGCTAAGACAAACATATATTTTAATAAGTCTGTTGTATTATAGGTTTATACACTGTTGCTCATAAAGTTGGAATAAAATATTTTTTAAATACTTTTTTAGTGCCAAACAAATGTTATATATGAATTCATTTCACCTGGGTAATTGGGACACATAATGTAATCATTGCACCTGGTCAAAAGTGATTACTGATGCATTTAAATAGGAATAAACAGAGGATTGTGTCTGAAAACAAAATTATTCCAACTTTATGGGCAACAGTGTATTAAAGACATATGTTACATGAATATATATCCATCCCAAAGCCTGTCAGTATATGCTCGGTAATAATATATATTAAATATAGAAATGTACAGTTAAATTAAATAAGGAATTGTTAAGGAAATGATATATAAACATATATATATATATATATATATATATATATATAGGGATAATATTGTCATATATATGTCATAAGACATTGTACAGTAAGGCTTAAAATGTTACAATATAGTAAGGCATGAAAACATAACAGTATAGTAAGACATAAAAAAGACACAGTATAGTAAGGGATTAGAGATGTCAATTAACGAAATGTGCATGTCTTTGGGTTGCAGGAGGAATTAGAAGTACCTGGAGAGAACCCACGCAGGTATAGGGAGAATATGCAAACTCCACACAGAAAGGCCCCAGGCCCGGGGACCATGAAAAGACATAAAAAGTAATAGTATATGAAGGCATAAAAATGTCATACTATATGAAGGCATAAAAAGTCATAGAATAGCAAGGCAAAAAAAGTCATAGAATAATAAGGCAAAAAAAAAGTCATACTATAGTAAGGCAAAAAATAAATGTCATAGTATAGTAAGGCATGAAAATTCATACTATAGCAAGGATTGAAAACATAGTATGGCATGAAAAGTCATAGTACAGTAAGTCATAAAAACTTCAAAGTATAGTAAGGCATAAAGAAGTCATAGTATAGTAAAGCATAAAAAAGTCAATATAGTGAGGCATAAAAATGTCTTAGTATAGTAAGGCATAAAAAAAAGTCATAGCATAGTGAGGCATGGAAAAGTCATAGTTTAGTATGGCATAAAAAGTCATAATATAGTAAAGCATATAAAAGTCATAGTATAATAAGTCATGAAGTCACAGTATAGTAAGGCATAAGATGTCATAGTTTAGTAAGGCATAAACACTCATAGTATGGTAAGGCAAAAAAGAGTCAAGATATAGTGAGGTATAAAAACTTCATACTATAGTATGACATAAAAAGTCATAGTATACTAAGTCATGAAAAAGCGCCATAGTATACTATGGCATAAAGACGTCATAGTATAATGAGGCATAAAAAGTCATAGTATACTAAATCTTAAGAAAGTCATAGAATAGTAAGGCATAAAAAATCATAGTATAGTAACTCATAAAAAAACGCCATACTATAGTAAGATATAAAAACATCATATTATAGTAAAGTAAACATTATAGTAAAGTCATTAAAACATCATAGTGTAGTGAGTCAAAAAAAGTCATAGTATAGTAAGGGATAAAAACGTCATACTATAATAAGGCATGAAAAAATCATACTATAGTAAGGTTTAAAAAAAGTCATAGTATAGTAAGTCATAAAGTCATGTATAGTAAGGCATAAAAAGTGATAGTATAACGCATAAAAACATCTTAGTATAGTATGGCATGAAAAGTCATACTATAGCAAGTCATACAAAAATGCCATAGTATATTGAGGCATAAAAAGTGATAGTATAATTAGGCATAAAATGTCATAAAAACGTCTTAATATATTGAGACACAAAATGTCATAAAAATGTCATAGTATAGTAATACATAAAATTGTCAACAAACAACATAGTATAGTAAGGCATAAAATGTCAATAAAACGTCACAGTATAGTAAGGCATAAAAATGTTATCGTATAATAAGGCATAAAATGTCATAGTATAATGAGGTATAAAATGTCATAAAAACGTCAAAGTATTAGTATGGCATAAAATGCCAAAAAAACGTGATAGTATAGTAAGGCATAAAAACGTTAAAAAACATCATACTATAGTAAGGCATAAAAACATCAAAAAACATCATATTGTAATAAGGAATAAAAAACGTCATAGTATAATGAGGCATAAAATGTCAATAAAACGTCATAGTATAGTAAGGCATAAAAACGTAAAAAAAAACATCATAGTATAGTAAGGCATTAAAACATAAAAAAACATCATAGTATATGATATATATGGTGTATATATACATATATGATATATATAGCATAAAATGTCATAAAATCGTCATACTATAGTATGGCATAAAATGTAAAAACAAAAACGTCATAGTATAGTAAGGCATAAAAACATCAAAAAATATCAAAGTATAGTAAGGCATGGAAACCTCAAAAAACATCATACATCAATAAGGCATAAAAACGTCATAGTATAATGAGGCATTAAATGTCATAAAAACGTCATAGTATAGTATGGCAAAAAGTGCCAAAAAAAACATCATTGTATAGTAGAGCATAAAATATCATAAAAATGTCATAGTATATTGCGGTATAAAGTTACAATATAGTCATAGTATAGTAAGTGATAAAAAAATGCCATAGTGTAGTAAGGCATAAAAACACTATAGTATAGTTTAGCATAAAACCATCATACAAAAGTAAGTCATAAAGTCATCATATAGTATGGCATAAAATGCAAAAAAAAAAACATCATAGTATATAGTAAGGCATAAAAACTTCAAAAAACATCATAGTATAGTAAGGCATAAAAACTTCAAAAAACATCATAGCATAGTAAGGCATAAAAGCGACATAGTATAATGAGGCATAAAATGTCATAAAAACGTCATACTATAGTAATGCATAAAATTATCAACAAACAACATAGTATAGTAAGGCGTAAAATGTCATATAAACGTCACAGTATAGTAAGGCATAAAAATGTTATCGTATAATAAGGCATAAAACGTCATAGTATAGTAACGCATAAAATGTCCTAAAAACGTCATAGTATAGTAAGGCATAAAATGTCATACAAATGTCATAGTATAGGAAGGCATAAAAACGTCATAGTATAATGAGGCATAAAAAGTCATAAAAACGTCAAAGTATAGTATGGCATAAAATGCCAAAAAAACGTCATAGTATAGTAAGGCATAAAAATGTTAAAAAACATCATACTATAGTAAGGCATAAAAACATCAAAAACATCATATTATAGTAAGACATAAAAACACATAGTATAATGAGGCATAAAATGCCAATAAAATGTCATAGTATAGTAAGGCATAAAAACGTAAAATAAACATCATAGTATAGTAAGGCATTAAAACATAAAAATACATCATAGTATATGATATATATGGTATATATACATATACGATATATACATAGCATAAAATGTCATAAAATCGTCATACTATAGTAATATATAAAATTATCAACAAACAACAGATATATATGGTATATATACATATATGATATATACATAGCATAAAATGTCATAAAATCGTCATACTATAATAATATATAAAATTATCAACAAACAACATAGTATAGTAAGGCATGAAATGTCATATAAACGTCACAGTATAGTAAGGCATAAAATGTCATAGTATAATGAGGTATAAAATGTCATAAAAACGTCAAAGTATTAGTATGGCATAAAATGCCAAAAAAACGTGATAGTATAGTAAGGCATAAAATGTCATACAAATGTCATAGTATAGGTAAGCATAAAAATGTAAAAAAATATCATATTGTAATAAGGCATAAAAACGTCATAGTATAATGAGGTATAAAATGTCATAAAAGCGTCAAAGTATTAGTATGGCATAAAATGCCAAAAAAACGTGATAGTATAGTAAGGCATAAATAAAAACAAAAACGTCATAGTATAGTAAGGCATAAAAACATCAAAAAATATCAAAGTATAGTAAGGCATGGAAACCTCAAAAAACATCATACATCAATAAGGCATAAAAACGTCATAGTATAATGAGGCGTTAAATGTCATAAAAACGTCATAGTATAGTAAGGCATAGAATGTCATACAAATGTCATAGTATAGGAAGGCATAAAAACGTCGTAGTATAATGAGGCATAAAAAGTCATTAAAACGTCAAAGTATAGTATGGCATAAAATGCCAAAAAAACATCATAGTATAGTAAGGCATAAAAACATCAAAAAATATCAAAGCATAGTAAGGCATGGAAACCTCAAAAAACATCATACATCAATAAGGCATAAAAACGTCATAGTATAAT